TCCTGAAGAACATCGGCACCGTCTCGATCGCCTTTATGGTGCAGTTCACCGCGTTCCAGGGCACGGCGAATCTGCAGTCGTCGATTAACGCCAGCGACGGCCTCGGTACCGTCTCGCTCTCGGCCATCTACGCCGCCCTGGTGCTCTCGTGCATCTTCGTGCCCACCTTTCTTATCAAGAGGCTCACCGTCAAGTGGACCCTCTGCCTATCCATGCTGTGTTACGCGCCGTACATCGGCTCGCAGTTCTACCCCAAATTCTACACCCTAGTGCCCGCCGGCGTGCTCCTGGGTCTCGGCGCCGCGCCCATGTGGGCCGCTAAGGCCACGTATCTGACGCAGGTTGGCGGCGTCTATGCTAAAATCACCGACCAGCCGGTCGACGCCATCGTCGTACGGTTCTTCGGCTTCTTCTTCCTCGCGTGGCAGACGGCCGAGCTCTGGGGCAATCTCATCTCCTCGCTTGGTATGTCGATAGCTTCAAATTTCCAACGTGTTAAATTAAAGTTATTTCAATGGTGTGAAAAGCAGTTCTATTCTGTTTGAATTTACAAAACTTTGTTGATGTTTCTTGAGAGATATCATCTAATTCGTGTATATTTGAAATCAGAATACTTGATTAAAGAGCGATAAGAAAGGCTTAACAAGATAAGAATATGGTAGTAAAATCAATGCAAACTACATTAATTGTACAAATTGACTTATTCAGTCTTTTCTGGCGCCTACGTCATATATTTACGTATTTATGATTAATGATTACTCAGGGCCAATTACACCGTTGATACTCTGTGAAGAGTTAATTTATGAGAATAAAAATCTCTTCTATTCTCACGGTCGGAGTTAGAAGTGATTAACGAGCATTTTTACACGGTTGAAAACTAATGTGTGTACTTTCGTAAAAGTAGCTCTTTTGCTATTTGCGCGTAATAAAGACATTCTAAATATCACAATAATATACAATGTGTATACTAAATTAACACTATTGCCGTCTGTTTTTCACGCGTAATTAGCTCACACTATATCTTGATATCGCGCAAATATTCCAGTAGAATGTATGTACAGTTGTACATCGGTTTATCATTTTAAACTAGTTGTTCATTACTTACATTTTTCTTTAGAATTATAAAGACTTCTTAAATCAAGTAATAAAAACCATTACTTTCTTTATTATTTTTTTCCAAATTATCATAAATATGTGATATAAATAATTTTTTACAAAATTCCTCAAAGCTAATTTTTAGTTGATTTAAATTGTTTAGATAAATCAAATAATAATAAATAATAAATCAAATAATTTTTAAAAAAAAGGGTATAAGAATACAGAATATTTAATTTAATAATTAGATAGAACTTTTTGATAAGTCTAAATCGATCTAATTTCGCGGCAATGTAGGGAGTACGCGCGCAGTAGAAATAAACGTTGCAGTCAGACAGTCCGACTAAACTCTCGGTGCTTCTCCTGACGCGTGTATATCCTAGCGACTTTATACATGTCGTTTCCGTGTGCGTGAGGGACAACGTGGTCGGTGAGGGACTTGTCGAACGAGAGAAGTCGTAAGAGTGATAGAGAGAAAATCGCTTGCTCGCCGGGAAGAAACAAGATTTATCCGGTATAAACCTGCGGCAGTTGGTTTCCGTACTACCTCGTACGCATTCCCTGATACCGCAATGTGTCTGCACACACATATATACAGACACGTAAAGTATCATTGTGTGTCTTTACGTGTGAAGAAACGTTTCTTCGATTTCTTCGCTCGTCGAATGCCACGCCTACGAATGGATTCGGCCTAACGTTTGCATAAATACAATCTGCGGCGTTTTAAATGTTAAATTGAATACATAAATTATAGAATTAAAAATGTATAGATTAAAATTAAATTTGAATGAGAAGATTGAGAAGATTAGAATTTAAACTTAAATAATTAATTAATATGAAAGAAGAGTAAAACTAATAATAAAATAATAAAACATATATTACTTTTTGTTATATGTGAGACTTGACTGTAAATTCATATGAAACTTGTATATTATAAACAGCAATTTATACAAATCATCTAGTTTATATTACATTTTTTTAATTAAGTAATAAACTTTTATATATTATTTTATTTTTTAATGTATAAAAAATAAAATATATGAAAGTAAACAATTTTAAATAATATTTTTATTTATTAAATATATTGATTGAAATATACTGAAATCAGATCTAATTTATAATAATATAAGATAAGATTATATAAACAAATTTTTTTGAAATCATTATCAATTATTTAATGGACAGAGAAAAGTCGATGCCATTGGCGCCAGGCAACATTTGCAAAAAATAAGAAAGGTCAAGATTGTTTTGAATCTTTGTCAAGGTTGACAAGTGCGCAATATTATAATGATGAAGAGTCGATAGTGATGTGAAGGCTACAGATTGCATGGACATGTCTTATTGAATAATTCCTCGAAATTATCGAGATCTTTATAGAATAATTCGATAATACTTGTACACATAAAATTTCTTACACGTTATAACATCGATTATAAATATGTATATCACACATGGAAGGCATCGATTAAATATATCACACATTGACCATATTTATATAACATGATCAATCGAAAATAATCCAGTTTATTTTTGTCGCGCTAATTAAAATCTTTAATATAATCACAATTACAAAAAATTATAATCGTGTAAATTATATGTCCCAGAACCTACAATTTTAATATCAATGTCGCACTTTTTAATACATTTGAGATCAATTTTTTATCACAGAAAATTTCAAGGAAGGTCATCGCTTATTTTAATTTTTTAATAATAAATATCGACAATAAGATATGATTGGCTTCAATTTTTTAATAAAAATATATCGACTGTAGTATTAAAAATGCAAAAAAAGAAAAATTGATTTGCATATAAATGAACAATAATGTTATTTCATCTTGTTCTTTTTAATCTTAAAAGTTTAATCCGTAATATTTTTAATTAAAATGTTTCTTCAATCTTTTCCTCACATAAAACATATGTCTAGTTACATATAAATATTTTCTACTGCCCAATCATTTCGAATATAATGCGAATCATTTCCACATAAAATATAAATTATATTGAAACAGAGATTATTTGAAGATGATATCTTCAAGAGGTCATTGACATACCGCTACATAAAGCGCATACACCTTGTAATTGTATGCCTGAACTAAATGATGATTACCGAACATGTATCTCACATGTCATGTCGTACTCACACAACGGCAGACACCGTTAAAAAACAGACATTTCTGATAATTGGTGACGAGAATGGTGGGGAGAATCGTAAAACACAATGTAATATTATTAGCGCTGCTCCGGTGCGGTGAAAGTCTCCTGATCGGCGCTCACGGATCAGTCAATGTAGATTCCAGAATGACGATAAGCCTCAGTTAGAATTATCGATTAGTTTTTATCTCCCGGAAAGTGTTCAAACGCCCGTGTGAAATTGCGAATAACAAAATTCCAGACACGCCGCGGCGATAGAAGATGAAAGTCGTACGTCAGTAGTTCCGGTCGATGATTTAACCGGCAAGAAGCGCACGGCCGTTAATTTTTCGTGGCGACGTAACTCGTGCCGCAATTTGCGCCGGACGATTTCTCGGGACACACGGAGGATTTTATCGTCACGTAAACGCACGCGTACTCGTTACACATTACATCACACGTGCGAAAAATAATAACACGTGGCGACCGCACGTTGGGCGCGTTTCAGCAAATCGTTGTTGCTTCGGGGCGCGTAGCGACGAGTTCTAGTCGACATACCCGATTTAAATAACACATCGAATACTAACGAGATCCTTCGAGAAAAAACGAGCGCATTCGAACGCATATCGTGCGCTTCCTCATTGACGACATACATGCGCGTGGGTCGTTCGTACAGCTGCACAGGAATTTCTCCTTCCCATTATTTCCGAACATTTCACCGATGCGCTTCGCGGAGATCCGTTCAATGATCCCCGCTTGTTAACGAAGCATCAAATTTTTAGCTCGACTCACCAGACCACTCTCTCGGGATTAAAATAACTTTTATAGCGACATAAAATGCACGGAAACGCGACAAGAGCGGTATATAAACGGCACGACCCGTTTTGTCGTGGGATTTCTTTCGCGTTCGCGGGATTTTTTTTCACGCGGAGCGCGGCTTTGCAATCTCGGTTGCAATCTCTGTCTTAACGGCGATAATAAAGCAATCAGAACACGCTAGATTGCGATGTCTATTGCATCTCTGTCAGAGGTAACCAGCAACGTTATTTACATTCGACAAAGGTCTTCTCCGACTTCACGCGCCGTGAATAAAGGTACGGGATTACGCGATGGAGTCTCACCATGGGTGCAACCGTGACCCCGATGTTCGGCGTTACCTCCGTCGCGGAGGAGCCGACGCGCATAATCGATTTTTCGGACCGTGAAGCGACGAAGCGACGTAGCGTGCATAATGCGCAAACCGCGAGTCCGCAAAATCGATTAGGGAAGAGTCGCGTCGCCGGTGAAACTCGCCTATGAAATATTGATTTACGAACTGCCCAGCTTCGGTCTCGCTCGCGTCGTGTCCCGGGCTCTCTCGTGACGATCGAGTCGGTAGATACATCGGTTTCCGGTTACGGCGTAACAGGTCGACCTCTCGATTTACTCGCTCGCACACACACCTTTGCCTTACGCGATTCTTCGAGCTCTCGCCTCGAACCGGCGTAATCGACTTGGCAATAAATCGTTACGCGTTCTCTGCTTAGCTTCTCTGTACGCGCGGAGTTACCAGGCAGATTCCTCGCATCGATATCTTCCTACCGATTTTATTTCTTGAACGTGTATAATGACGATAAAAGCCATTTCCATACAAACTTACGTCTACCATGAGGAGAAACTCAGATCTTGTATTCAGATCTGTAGAACATAGCTACAGAATAGCGTACCATAATTATCGTTGAACGTTTGCTTAAAAATTAAAATTATTCAAAAATATCGTAAAATTCTTTCTTAATCCTTCCACTAACGTTCGTGTATTCAGGAAGAAAAGCCGTTATTAAATATTTAATAGTTTTCAGTCAAGAAAAATATTACAATATTGCGATAATTCGTTTTTTTTTACTTTTAAAAAAGTAACATAAGAATAGCCTCATTGCTGCAAAAATAATAAGTAAAAGACAATAATTATTTTTGCACTGTAATTTGCATAATTGAAATTGAAAAATTGAATTTTT